CTCCTGATGACAATACACAAATCCCAGACAAAAGACAAGGGCCTCAAATGTGAGCTGGCCTCTGAGGAAGCGGTTTCAGGCCAGGCCTGCCCCAGCTGCCCCACCATACCCCTGCATGCGAGGGCAGCCTGTTCCCTGCCTTCTACCTGCTGACTCCCACGTACCCCTCAAAGCTCACCCCAGCATTCCCTTCTCTGGGACAGTTCTTCCTCTGGTGGCCCCAAGAAACCCCTTAGCAGCCTTCCCACGTGGAATCTTACCATTGTATCTTGCTTTTGCCTGGGTGCCCTCCTCCCACCCCAGAACACAGAGAGGCTCAGCCCACCGGCACGGCCCAGGGGAGCCCAGGAGAGAGGCCGGGGAATCAGCTGCCCCAACGAGCACTGTCACCCTCCAGGGTGCCAATGGGACCCCCCACCCAGCCAAGGGGCCACCACCTCTAAAGGCCAACACCACGGCCGGCATGGCGGCAGCTCTTCAGGGAAAGGTGAGCTCACCTTTGGCCTCCACATCGACAGGCCCCATAGAAGAGTGTCTCGACTCAGGATGGGGAACGGACTGGGCAGTGCCCTGGGTGAGGAGGACTCCGCGCAGGAGTCCCGGGAGGTCAAGGCAGCAGGCAGGAAGCTGCTCTGTGATTTCACCTTCCCGGGGTTCACGCACACCAGGGCCACAAGCAGTGCTGACACACGCAGTCCTGTCTTACACACAGCCTCATGCACGGATGGTCTCACACAACCTTACACACGCACGACTTCAAATACACACACTCTGTGTCACACACAGGACCCCCACCCCAGCCTCCTGCAAGGATGGCCTCACACAACCTTACACACACACATGGCCTCACATACACACACTCTGTGTCACACACAGGACCCCTACCCTAGTCTCCTGCAAAGGACAGTCTCACACAACCTTACACACACACAGCCTCACATACACACACTCTGTGTCACACACAGGACCCCCACCCCAGCCTCCTGCATGGACGGTCTCACACAACCTTACACACACATGGCCTCACATACACACACTCTGTGTCACACATAAGCCCGTCACCTCAGCCTCCTGCATGGACGGTCTCACGCACACAACCTTACACACACACAGCCTCACATACAGTCTGTGTCACACACAGGCCCCCCACCCCAGACCCCTGCATGGGTGGTCTCACACAACCTTACACACACATACATGGCCTCACAAACACATGGCCTGTGTCACACATAGGGCCCCCACCCACCCCCAGCCTTAGCATGGTTCCACGCACACATCACAGCTTCACACACACAGCTGCACGTAGTCACACTTGCACATGCAGCAATGCACTCACAGAGTGTGCTCTGCACACACTCCCAGCCTCTCTCTCACACACAGCCTCGGCCCTACACATGCGGCCTCTCTCTCTCACATGCATACTGGGTCCCACACAGTCTCATTCACACACACACACACACACCAGTCCACCTCTCAAAATGCCCAGAATCTGTCTCTCACTTTCACAGAATTTCTCTGACCCAGGGACTCACAGAATCTCTTAGAGTCATAGTCTCACCACACACGCGCGCGCACACACGGACCCAGAGTCTCACTCACACGTATTTTGTTCTCACACACAGTCTTTCTCACACACGAGGAGTCTCGCACACCCAGAGACGCTCCTGCACGGCTCCTCCCTCTCACACACACAGGCAGCTTTCTCACACAGGATTCTGGTCTGGAATCTGGAAGGCCGAGGGGGCCTGGGGCCCGTGGGGGAGGGGTGAGCAGAGGTGACAGCAGGGATGGAGGGGGAGGAGGCCTCGGGCTGGGCTGCTCTCTGCGCAGATGAGCCGCAGGAGGCAGCGCAATGCAGCTCTAGGCCTGCGGGGCGGCAGGAAGCCGGGGTTCTAATCTGCCCTCAGTCCCCTGTGCCCTTGCAAGGACCCTCCCGCTATGGCCTCAGTGTCCACATCGGTTACCCTAGGGACTTGGGAGGGACCACAGTCTCTCTGGAAGGCCACTGGGAACAGAAGGTGGCATAGATGGGCTGGACGTGGGGGGTGCACCTAACACCCTCCGCCAGTCCGGGAGCCCCTCCCCCATCCTGCTACCCACCCCCACCACATTCCCTGAGTCCGCTCTTCATGGCTGTTCAGTGGAAAGGTGTTTGGAGACTTCGCTGTAAACTGTACCCCAACAAGACCTCAAGTCACACTCGCTGGCCCACCTGTCTGCATCGGGTGACCGCCACTCTGCAGCCCAGGAATGTCCAATGAGAGGAGATGGGGGGTTGCCCACTCCCCCTGACTCTGCCCTGAAACTCAGCGTCACTGATCAGAGCCCTAAAGCTGAGTCCAAGGGGGTGGGGTGAGGGGACCTGGCATCTGGCTAGGGAGCCAGGAGGCTGAGGCTAGAAGCAGGAAGTTGAACCTAGCCCTTGTTTCAGGGGGCCAAGGTTGGGGAGGTGTCCAAGGTCAAATGTGTGCTGAATGGGCAGCTGCTCCAGCCCACGTCTTTGCCCAGCCTGCCCCCACCTACCACACCATGTGCTGGTGCAGCTGCACGGCCCCCCGCCAGTCCCTCGCCACAGCTCAGCCACAGCCTCCAGTTACATAACCCTCTGGCTGTGGTGTCCTCTGCCAGGCAAGGGAGCACGGGGAGACCTCTGAGGGTCCCAGTCCACTCTGAGAATAGCAGGCAGCTGGCAGCAGCCACCTGAGGGGGAGAAGAGAGTCCCAGGAGACTTGGGTTCTCGTTCTGCTTGGCCTCCAGCTCCTTGGGTGACCTTGAGCAGGGTCCTTAGCAGCAAAACCAGGGGCCTGGGTCTGTCCCTGTTACCCCCCACCATATACACACCTGTTCTAGGACTCAAAATATAAAACTGACTCTCTCCCCCCCACACACATGCCTTACTGTGTATGTCCTCCAGATCTGTGTCTAACTCCCCTTTCCCGCCCTCAGGCTCTTCAGGGCCCCAAGTCTTCTTCCTCCACAGACCCTCTGCAGTCTCCAGCCCTCCACAACCCCGGCTCCCAGGCTCTGGCTCAGGCTCCAGGGGGCAGGAAGGAAGGGACTTGGAGTGGTAAAAGACAGTGGGGCAGCTGCTTTGCCTGGTAGGGGTGGGGGGTGGTTCCCTGGGAGGGGCTCTGCTCCAAATTCCCAGCTCTGCCCCTCCCCCTCAAGGCTCAGGCCTCTGAGGACAGAGCCCAGGCAAGGCCAAGGCCGGGAGTGTCTTCCTCATAGGTAACTGCACCAGTCACTCTTTGGGGCTCAGTTATTGATGGTCCAGCAGCAAAGGACCCTAGAGTCACCAGGTCCCCTCCCATTTTACAGACGAGGAAACTGGTCCAGACAGGCCATCTGAGAGGCCAAGGTCAGCATCAGGGTGTCCTTTTTCCCCAGCAACAAGCTGCTGTCACCAAAGGGGAGTGGCCAAGGAAGGCACACCCACCTCTACACACCTCCTTGCAGTCAGCCCCCCTCTCTGGCCTGAAACAGGCCCCTGAGGAAGCATAAGCATAAGCCCAGTGACACCCCCCCCCCCCCC